TGATGATGATGATGATGATGATGATTAATCTAATGATTAACTTATCCCTTTTCTTATCAGTAAAGTACTACGCACTTCCTGGATCTTTAAAGACAGYCGTCTGYCTCCCAGGGTGTGYGTAGCACTARTTAAAGATTAATGAAGACAAAAGCATGAGACGTTAATCAGAATATTGAAAGTCTCCTCCCCTCCCCCTCCTCCTCATTTCCCCCTGTCCCATCGTTGCCTCCGCCGAAGCCAGTCCCAATATATAGGCCCTTCCTTTTGTCCCAACTTGGAACAGACCCTCTCACCCTCACTATATCCCCAGAGGCATTCAGTTCCCACCCAAAGAATACCTCTGCATACCCCTTACCCTATTCTGCCCCCGCTGGGACTGGATGTCTCATCTCACCTCTGCCCCAACCCCAGAACAGAGTATCCCTTATGATCTGCACATACCCTCTTCAGGGCGTCCACCTCCCTCCTTGTGAAGCCCCTGCAGAGCACTGCTCCCCCCCTCTATAATACCATACCACCAAACTGCAAATGAACACTAAATAGCCCGCTGGGAAAGACAAGAGACTTCCATAGGAAAAACATACGCAGAAATTGGATGTTTATTCTTGTCATGAAAACGAAGGAAAATACGAAATAAAACACGAAATAAAATACGAAATACAATTAGAATTATGAATAAGACAGTCACATTGTAACTATTTTGAGGAAATCAAGGATGAACACTAAAGGAAAACTTGATTAGTAATTAATGGACAATAAAGGAAAACTTAATTAGTAATTAATGAAATAAAATTTTGGTATTAAAAATATCAATGATAATAATACTCATCATCATAATGATGAGTATATGATGACGATAATGATGATACTGATGTTGATGATGATGATGATGATGATGATGATGATGATGCACCAATGATGATGATGCTCATAATGATGATGATGATGCTGATGATGATGATTATGATGACGCACCAATGATGATGATGCTCATAATAATGATGATGATGATGATGATGATGATGACGACGCACCAATAAAGATGCTCATAAAGATGATGATGATGTCAGTAATGCTGCTGCTGCTGCTGCTGCTGCTGCTGCTGCTGCTGCTGCTGCTGCTGCTGCTGCTGCTGATGATGATGATGATGATGATGATGCTGATGATGATGATAATGACGATGATGCTAATAATGATAATGATGATGATGAGATGATGATGATGATGATGATGATGATGATGACGATGATAACGATGATGATGACAACCGTCGATGATGATGATGATGATGATGACGGCGATGATAAAACCGAAGCTGGTGATGAAGATGCCTTCTTACGAGCTGATGATAAAGTTGTCGCTGACGATCGTGCTGATGAAGAAGCCTGCTTACTAACTGATGTTGTCCCGAGATGATGATGATGATGAAGATGATGATGAAACATGACGCCGATATTGCTGCTTCAGAAAAAAGATGATGTTGAATATGGCCACGTGTCACCACACTGCGAGTAGAAAGATCGTCACGAAAACCACCAGGACGCTGGAACTGAAAAGCCCAACAACGTAGAAGAGAACGTACCATCCCGTGAAGCAGAATATACTCAGTCTTGCTGAGGTTCCTATGTCTGAAGGTTCGCACCCTGAAACAGAASCAACCAACCCCCCCTCTCTTCCTGCACGAGCCTGTGATGCCAGGAGATAGGCACAAAACAGCACAAAAGACTATCGCCTCTCTCTCCACTTTGACAGCTAGGAATGTCGCTGTCAACGCTGTAGCACAGCAGAACACAACTCCCCGCTGAAGCATAGCAAGCACTCTACTCCCTCATCCCTATGATGTCAAGAATCTCCCTCCCCGTGCTGACGTGGCAGCACCTGCGCGTGTGCTAGGCGCAGTCCCCTGCCCCCATCGTCGTCATCGGCCGACACACTCGAATTTCGTGGCGCGCCCTAGATCTTCAATATCTCATGATCCGCCGAACCATTTGATCTGAAATTTGGACCACCTCAGCTCCTCGACATAGACCACCGGTGGTCCAATTTTCAGCTCAGGGCGCGCGCCCAATCGCGCGCAATCGGCGAGCGCGCGCGCGCCATTTTCCTTGTTGCGTGCAGTTTGCCAGCGCGCTCTGCTCCTCTCCGTGGCGGTATGCTGCCGGGGCGCAGCGCTCCCGGTAGCACTGCGCCCCCTGTCCTTTGCATCTGCATCAGTCTCCCTCGAGTTGTTATTCTATTTATTCATGAAAAAAAAAAAAAAAAAAAAAATCTAACATTGCTCCTTTTGGAAAGGGATATTAAAATGAAATTCAATCTCAATTTGTAATTCTATTTGTTCATAAAAAATTCCCAGGTATTGCTCCTTTTGGCAAATATTGTTTATCTAGTGGCTACCTTCTTCCCCCGAATTCGATGTATTCACCGTCCTTATAGCTGTATCTAGACTGAAAGATTCCTCAAATACAGCTATAATGACCATGAGTTGTATTGGGGGGAAAAAGGGACCAATGGCTGCAGGGATACCATGAAATTCAATCTCGAATTGTTATTCTATTTATTCATGAAAAAAAAAAAAAAAAATCTAACATTGCTCCTTTTGGAAAGGGGATATTAAAATGAAATTCAATCGACTGTTGACAAGTTGACCAATTGGACCAATTGAATTTCATTTTAATATCCCCTTGTCAATTGGTCCAAGTCCATTGCAATTGTCAGGGACGATACTCCTTTGGCTGTGAATTGGGGTTTGAAGTGCTTACCTGTGGGGGATTGTGAGCGTTTTTTGGGGGTACAGGTGAGCATGCTCGACAGCAAGAAAGAGGCAAGCAATCTAGCGGAACGGGCGGTTCTGTCAAAAATCAGCATGGTATCAGCAGTCAAGGGTACATCCATCTTCGGACGGGCCTTATTTTTGAACACCTTGGTTTTTTCGCAGGTTTGGTACCCAGGGTCAGTTGGAAGGCTGGATGGTAAAACATATGGTAGAATCAGGTCGGCGTCCACTAGGTACCTATGGAAAGGCTCAAATAATGAGGAGGTAGGCTATATAGCAAAGTTAGCATGGAAAAAAGTGGTGGGTATTGGCGGATGGGGATCTAGGCATCAAGGACCCAGAAATGCAGGTTAATGCCTTGCTATCCAGATGGGTGATCAAGCTCCTCATTGAGGAGTCAATGGGCACAGTTAGCTGCAGGTGCACTCATGAAAGACTGGGGTCTCTGTCGAAAGGAGGACGTGTGGGTGGCCCGACTTACTCCTTTGGTTAAAGGACCGATGAAATCGGCAGTCTGGAAAGACATCCTCCTAGCGTGGTTCCAACTAATGCCATTGCTAATCAAGGAACCACAGACGAGGGAGGAGGTGTTAGCACAACACATCTTTGAAAACATTTTTATCTGCGACAGTTCAGGTGTTCCTTGGCCTGCAGGGGAGGAAACGGGTCAATTTGGGAAAAGCTGGATTCAAAGGGGGATTTCAAGAATTTCAAACCTCTGGAATATGGAGCTGGGGCATTGGAGGCCCGCTGTTGAGCTAAGGACAAAGCTGCACCACCTGCAGTCAGTCCCGGAAAGGCTTAATAACATATTGGGGAGTATCCCACAATCATGGAAGGATATCCTAACGGACCCTGTATCCGCCTATGAGGGACAGTGGGTAGTACAGAAAGGTGGTATAGAGCCCAAGGAAGTATGGAAAGTCCTCGAGATGTTGGATCAGGGCCAGGCTATTGTCTCCCCTTACCAAGCGTATGCGGAGGACAACACAGACAGTCGGAGGTTAGTAGAGACCGAAGAAAAAGTGGTCTCTCTGCAGAGACTGGTGTCCATCGTAGTACGGTCTACTAAACTAGGCAAGGACTCTGTGAACCATGTTTGCCCACTAGGGGTGAGAGCGGCCAGCAGGTTGAAGGCACTCCCTCTACATTGGGGATGGCAGTTGTTACAACCATCCAGGACGGTCTGTTTGCTTGACTATACTCCCTCAGTGGGGTATCAAGCTCAGTCCAAATCATGGAACCTCCCCCTCAGTGTTAGAAATCGCTGGCAAATGGAGTCAAAGGAGAGGTCACAGTTTAAGGGGTCGGTCTCCTCGTCAGAGCTGAGGAAACTGTGGAGAGGTCTCAAACGGATACCGTCGGCCAAAATGGGGAGCCTGGCGTGGCTACAGTCACACCGCATTGTCCCTACCGTGTGTTGGCTGGCGTCTAACAGAGTGCTGCTGGACACCCAATGTCGACGATGCAGGAAGATGGAAGAGAATGCTACTCACCTGGGTGGGGCTGCATTGAATCTAAAAGAATATGGGTCTGGTGGGCCAAGCTATGGGAGAAGAATGTGGAGGACCAAGTCCAATGGGATGAACGGTTTGTTGTCGAGGGAATCATTCCTAATGAAGAGAAGGTGAACAGAGGGTGGAGCTACGTGGCCTCAGCGTGCAGGGCGGCGATTATGCAGGTCATATGGAAGCTGAGGAACGACAGAATATTCAGATCTAAGTTCTACTCTGATATAGCCATCATGAATCTAATCCTGGAAAGGGTGAGGTCCCTGGTTTGGTCAGACTGGAGAAAAACTCGAAGAGCCCGCTCCAAGAGAGCAGCCAGGGATCAGTTTTTCAGAACTTGGGGTCAGAGCGTCAGATTTTTGAAAGTCAAGTCCTCAGGCATTATGTTAGAACCTTCGTTGATGGGCCCCAGGCCGCCCTGAATTGTCAGGGGCTGGTTCTTCAGGTACCTGGGTTTAGGGGATGGAGACATGCTTCGACAATGCCTGTGGAATGAACTCCCCAACTCTTCAGGCTCTACCAACTTATCAGGGCTTCATCTGCCCAGTATGAAACAAGACAGAAAGCTATTAAGTTAGACTAACAGTCAGCTAGTACCCATGGACTAGGAAGTAAGCTAATATGGCGCCAGTATGGTGAAGAGGTCCAAGTAGGGGTACAACCTCGTTCAGAGGGTAGGATCTCAAGATCTCTGTTCAAATACGAATGTTTGGGACGCTGGACCCGGTTTCCAGCAGGTGCAGCTCCCCACAAATAGAAAGGAGCCATCGGAAAGGATCTCCCACCTTCTATCCACAGGGGTGCTTACCCCCCTGAGGGCAGAAGGCAGGGCAGGAATCGATGTTCAAAAAAAAAAAAAAAAAAAAAAAGAAATTCAATCTCAATTTGTAATTCTATTTGTTCATAAAAAATTCCCAGGCATTGCTCCTTTTGGCAAACATTGTTTATCTAGTGGCTACCTTCTTCCCCCGAATTCCAATGTATTCACCGTCCTTATAGCTGTATCTAGAATGAAAGATGCCTCAAATACAGCTATAATGACCATGAGTTGTATTGGGGGGAAGAAGGTAGAGTCCATCTCATTCCTTCTTCACCGGGGGCCAAGTCCCACCAGCAGCGTTGAGCTACCTCAACGCCTGAATCTGGACGTGTTTGTGGAGAGGTGCAGTCCAGGAAACTCAACACCATAATTTTCTGCACATCTCTGCAAAAGCATCCACATTCAGGCGTTGAGGTAGCTCAACGCTGCTAGTGGGACTTGGTCCCCGGGCCAAGCCCCACTAGCATGATTCTTCAATTCTGATGCTGATCATAGTAATCTACGGTCAGAAGTTGAGATGTGGGGTAAGTGGGACTTTGCCGCCCAATAGATCGTACCGTCATTGTTGGTGTATTTGGGGTATGTTTCAGTCTAAATACATCAACAATTATAATGATGGTACACGGAATTCAGGTGAAGAACGTAGCCATTGGAGGGGATTATCACTGCTGCAGAGATAAAATGAGATTGAATTTCAATCTGGAATTTCATGTACTGAATTTTATTCACGAAAAAAGGGAAACTTTGTCTGGCACCCCTGTAATTTGCATTATTTCGTGTAGCGCCCCTCCGACGGCTGTCGCGTCCCTGGGCCAAAAAATATTTTATGCAGGCCCTTGTCGGTAGTGACCGCAACTTTCCAGGACGCCCTCCTTGGACTGGCGGTCCCATTTCCATCGGGTCCTGTGCCATATGCCCTCATGATGGGCAGCCATCTTTCTGCAATGCCCCCGCAGCCGTGAGGCGCCACAAATTCACATTTCCATAGGGCCCTGTGCGATATGGTCCGTTTCCCTGCAA